GTTGAATAAAGGCCAGTCACGGTTACCAATAGCAACTCATGCGTTGGGCTCATATTGAGGATGACGAGGATGAAGAGCTCACACCCAGAAAACGTTTCTACTCATGAGCAGATATTACACACTAGAACATCCGGGTCAATCAGTGTCATTATCTAATATTACGAGAGAGGATAGTTTATCTTTGGAATGATAATACATCACTAAGAATAATAATGACTAGATTTGTTTTAATCTGTGAAAATAGGATCTTTTATTTCCTTATTGTTAGAATTCAAACTGACTCACGTCACTGAGGAGCAGGCTGCACCTCCTGTTGAAAGCCGGGTCTGGTAGCGGAGGCTTAACGTCAGAGGAGGCCTGGAAACAACAAAAGAGAGGTCGATAACTGCGACATCATTCACACAAGGCGCTGCCATAATTTACTGTTTTATGCTGTTGTTATTTATATTTACATGAAATCATATTCATGCTAAAATGAAGAGTTTCCAGTGTTCACTTCAAGACTTTCAGAGTAAAGATTTAACGTTAGCTGTTAGCTGCTAGCAGCCAGCTAACGTTAGCATCAAAGTCCTCCTTGGCTAACAAACTGAGCTAACCGCTAACATAAAGAAGGTTGCATTGAGTTACATTGTGATGCGTATGATATTCTTAACTTTGTTATATCGACATAGGGAGCAGGAGGCGGAGTCTGCCATGTTGCACCTCCATGTTTCTACAGATGCCCAGAACGGACAAACCAAACACCAACTCTAGAGAGAGACTTTGATGTTTGTTCCCTGAAGGCCACCGTACTTCTCCTACAAGGAGCAGTGAGCGGAGGGGTTTTCAGTTGCAGTTGCAATCTGCAACCTCACCACTAGATGTCACTAAATCCCACACACTGCTCCTTTAATACTACTTTAATAATCAACGCAAATATCTGAATAAAAATACAATAATTTATTTCCTAACAATGCAAATAACCACGATAGATGACAAAAACCCTCCAACAATAGAAATTATCATGCATGTAATGTTTTAAAATGTTATTCCTTCATTTAGAGAATAGATTTCATAACTGGCAGATACAATTTATGAGTTGCAGACAAAAAACCGACTTAAAAACAGTTAAACAGAGAAACCTCTCTACTTCATGCACCGTTTAAAGCTCGCCTCCTTTATCTGGCTCACATGCAGACCCTAGGAATCCCGCCATCAGAGGCTAATCATTGCACATGTTTCATTTTGTGGTTCCACTAATCCTCTCTAAGCCCACATGAATACAAGGTCACCACAAAGACTCACAGTCAGAGGAACCGAACCTGCCTCTCAGCAGACGTCATCAAAAGAAAAGGCAAATCCTCAAATGTGGACCGTTGAGTGTGTCCACGTGTTGAAGAGGGAAATTATTTAACAGAAGCAATTACATAATTAAAAGGCCAAGACCTCCAATGAGATCCTTCTCTGGTTTTAAAGAAGCGGTTTCTTACGTCAAATAAATATTAATTTAAATTAAAAGACAAGAAGTGAGTTAAACTTGAGATCCCTGGCAACAAAAGATAAACTGATTCGTCACTCGCGGGTTTTAACAATTGGAGAGAAAACGGTGAGAAGCTCAGGTTCAATTTAGAAAAGCTGAGTCAGACGTCTTTGCATTGTTAAAGCTTCTCCGGTTCCCAAAAAGTGTGACAGCAGCAGGAACATGTGGTCCAATCTAGCAGATAACAAAGTAATCAGCTGCTTTCCTACATGAACACATTTAATCTGCTGATTCCTTTCTTTACTTTGTTATCGGATTATTTTTCCGGCTTTGACTTTTTGTGTCTGTTGAGTTTTTTTTAAGTTCTCACCTCTGATTCCCAAGCTCCCTGCAGCTTCTTCGCCCGACCCTCCTCTTCCTCTTTGTTCCCTTCTTCTCCTGCCTCCTTCTCTTCCTCTCTTACTTCCTCAGTTTCTACCTCTTCCTCCTCCTCTTCGTCCGTCCTCGTAGTCGTGGTCTCCGTCGATGACGTCGTCTCCTGGACGGACTCAGCTGAGGCCTCGTCCTCCATGTCGAACACCTCTGAGGACGAAGCACGATTAATGTTTGTGTCTTTTATTCACCAGTTAAAGAGGGAAACAACAAAACAGGTTATTGCTGAAAAGTCTGTGAAAATATATTGATATTTGTATATCTGGTCGAAGAAAAGGGAGCAAAACTACTACGAGTACTACTACGACTACTACTACTACTACTACGACTACTACTACGACTACTACTACTACGACTACTACTACTATTCTGCCATGAAGAGTCCAGTAGTGGTAGAAGTACTCAGATCCTCTACTTTAAATAAAAGTAGAAATACCAGAGTCTAAAAATACTAGTAATACTAGTATTAACAGCAAAAAGCTCTTCTCATTAATGCAGAATGGCTCCTTTCAAAGTGTTTTATTATTATTATAGAATATTATATTGTTAGTATGATGTAGAAAAAAAATCAAATATCACAATATTTTGGACCGAAATACGTCGATATCACGACGATATTGTTTGTTTTTGCTTTCAACTAAATATTAAAATAATTCGATTTTTGATTAATAATCTTCAGTAAGTGGTTAAAGGCCAATGATAGAACAGTCTGGTATGTTCATAAAATAACATCACTTTACTTTAATGCAGCCTTTTATAGCAGGAAAAGACTGAAGACATGTTATGATATCCAGAATCTAAGACGATGTCTCGTCTCATGTGATATTGATATATCGGCCTGCTCTACATATAGAAGTATCTTAATGTTGTAGTTCATCAATGTGGATCCATCAGATACTGGATAGATTAGTAGTGTAGTACTGCATCCTATTATATGTTTTTTAATGTAAAAAGTAGATATAAGTGTGTCAGATAAATGTAGTGAAGTAAAACGTTTCCCTCTGAGATGTAGTAGAGTAGAATTAAAACGCAGCATAAAGTGGAAATGCTCAAGTACTGTATGTCAAAATGTCACTCAATGCGGTTGAATGTGTGTATTTAGTTCTTGTGTCACTTTGTAAATGTTTTGGTCTTTTTGTAGTTTCTTTGTCTCTCTATGTGGTTGTTTTGTGTCTATTTGAAGTAGTTTTGTGTATTTTATTTGTTGCTTTGTGTCTCTTTGTGGTTGTTTTGCGTCTCTTTGTAGTTGCTTTATGTCTATTTGTAGTAATGTTGTGTCTCTTTGAGGTTGTTTTACCCCTTTTAATAGGCCTTGTGAGTCTCTTTGTTGTCTCTTTGTGTCTGTTTGGAGCTGTTTTGGTCTCTTTGTAGTATTTTTCTGTCTCTTTGTAGTATTTTTCTGTCTCTTTGTAGTTGTTTTGGTCTCTTTGTAGTATTTTTGCATCTCTTTGTAGTATTGTTGTGTCTCTTTGTGGTCATTTAAAGTCTCTTCCTGGTTGTTACGGGTCTCTTTGAGTGACATTTTGTAGGTGAAGTCCAGCGGGAGCCCCTGATGCTTTGGACCCCTGTTCAGTAATCCATCTATGGGCCAACGTGCCACGCCAGTACGTAGTCAGAGCCACAGTAAAGGTTCATTCAAACCAAAACACACTGCACAGCTGGTCCACATTCTCAGAGATAGATATTAGAAATGTTAGCGGTGAGTCCGTGTGTTGTGTTCATATGACAGAAGTACAGTTCTTCAGCTGGTTCAGACTGTTATGAACCAGCTAAAGAGCTTAAAAACAGAGAGAATAGCATTTCAAACACAACTCATTACTCAAACTGTCGGCCGTTACTCGCTGATCAACTCTTTAGGATCCTTCACGTTATGTTTGTCAAGGTCACCTCTTCAGCCTCTTCAAAGTCACAGAGCTCAGTTCGTCAACGTCTCAGCTCTTCTTTTAATCTTCTCCCCCAACCTCTGACCCGTCTGTCCCAGCCTCTTCACACCGTTCAGCTTATTAACAAACGTCCATGAACCTTCTTCTAAAACATCCTGTTCTCACAATCAGCCTCATGGCTGCACTCACCTCGTCCGATGTATGGCCTCTCAACGAATCTTCCTCTTCGTCTTCCTCAGTGTCTCCTTCTGCCTTCTAGCTTTCCAAACGTTCTTTTGATTATCGTAGCTACTTATTTATTTTACGCCACTCTTCTCTTCTCAGGCTCCTGGTCTCTTATTTCTCCTTCTGAATGTCTTAAGACAGTCTTGCACAGTTTCCTCGATGTCACGCTTTTCGTCTGAACTTCTTCGTCAACCTTTCAGAGTCTCCTTTTTACCTCAAACTCGTCCCGGACTTCGTCGTCTAGTCTCGGCCGCCTCATGTGATGTCTGAGTGCCTCCTGGGTTCGTCGGTTCGATGGGTTACTTCTTTATCAGTTTTGACTTTCCACATTTAGCCCTCTACTCGAGACCTTATCGCAGCCGTGCCCTTCACCCCAGTCACAGTGCCAGTGTTGGGTACAGTGTGTGTGTGTGTGTGTGTGTGTGTGGGGGGGGGGCTAATACTATGTGAATGTGTCACTGCTGTCTGTGTGTATAAGTTGAGTGGTTGAAGGTGAAAAATACCGTAAGCTGTAAAGAATGCTCTTCTTATACCTTTATTCTAGTTGAATAAACCGTTTATTATGTTTGACTTCTCTATGTATCTGTACTTATTTCTGACCTTGTGCTGCTGCAACACCTGAATTGTATTCTCTGGGGTTTAATAAAGGTTTATCTCATCTTATGTAACATTCCCTTTTTTACTAGAAGGAACTCTCCTCTTCTGCAGAACTGAACGAATAAAACTTTTCCCAAGTTGTGCAGGTAAACGTCATCTTGAACCAGGAAACGAGTTCATTTTGATCTTGAGATGTTGTGTTTGCAGAATGTTATGTTTTTAAAGTTTAATGGTGATTATTCTTGATGTACAACTCCTCAAACAGTCAGCGTGTGAAGCTGTGTGTGTGTTTGGTTGTAGAGATGGACGTTCTTGCAGACTAACATCACTTTGAAGTGTTCACATCTGTAAGAGGTTCGTTAGCGGTCCAGAGTAGAGCTGGGATGAGGTCATAGGATGAATGACAAATAAAGGGAAGAAGATGAAGAA